ATGCTTGTACGGGGGATAATCTTAATGTTATTTTCATAACTATTATTAAATGTGGTGTGCATACATACATATATAATATTGCTTTTATGAGTCTTTTAGTGTCTCGTATGACATTTTAACCGGCAGCTGAGATTTTACATTCTTGCCTTGTCATTTTATATATACAGCGGGTGACCCTACGATAAAATCTTCTTCTTCTTCATCTTCTTCTACTTCTTCCTTGTAAGTATGTTCACCGTGTACGCGACCACAGGCGAGGCAATGGTGGCGCATTGAAGACACCAGATGATTGATAAAAGGCTGGGGGATGCTGTTCCAAATGTCAACCAAACATTGGACCAACTGAGCTACGGTCTGTTTCTGGTCCTGTTGTTGGCATCCTTCCATCTCATCCGAGACATGTTCTATCGAGGAGAGGTCTGGAGTAAAAGCCGACTATGGCAATACAGCAATCACATGCTGCTTCAAACACGGACGACGTTGAGTAACGCAAGCGTCACTGAAATGTTTCCAATCCTGGTTTCCTAAACTCCGATGCTGTTTACACCATGCTGGGTCACGGTGACGCGTGGACGTTGATATTCAGGATGCCGTGACATTGCGTAAGCGTTATTTACGGTTAAACAAAAGTGTTTTATGAGCACCTTACAGCTAAATAATCAGTGTGCGCTGTTCATATTACAAAACACGTGTGTAAATATCATGCTCCCAACAAACACTTTAACGTCCAAATTGTGCGCCAGATTGTGAAGCTCGACCTTAAAGTCGAGAAGATGACTGTCATCATGAATATGTATTGAAAGATGCATTTCTTAGTTTCAAATAAATATACCTTTTTACTGTATTTTAAGCACAGTTACTTTTTTTCCGTGTGTACATTATATGAACAGTATTTGTTTGGGTATGTGTTTGCGTGCGTGCGTGCGTGCGTGCGTGCGTGCGTGTGAGTGTGGTCCAGTTGTACATGTACGCTAGTACATGCAAACAGGACTGGCTGGCCTTCGATTTCATTTTGTATATATAACTGTGTATTCTGTAACCAAACAAAGTACTTTATGAAATAAGGAGGAAACTTTAAAAATAACAGTATATCCATTCATTATGCGGCAGATTCCTTTTATCAAGCGAATGCTCATGGGGTTAGAAACCATTTCCATCCCGGTGAATGGATCAGTCAATGTGAATTCTTAACTCTCTGGGGGGTACATACACAACCATCCAACGCCATGTGAAGGATACAAGTCACATTCATCCGACCGGGGTACCATTCACTGCTTGGTGAACACACAGTTTCCTATTTGATGTATAGACAGGGGATGCATGTTTCCTTTATATTACACGAATGGCTGCAGATACCATTTACCTAGTTGTTACTAGTTGTAGCATCGAATCGATTCATATTTTGTCTATTCACTTGATCGCAGTGACGCACTGATAGATAACACAGCTGTGATGAGTGACGTCATCCTGTTTACTACTTTCTACTAATATCTAGTGTGAACCTCCACAAAAAAAGATTCAGCAATATATGTGGATGATGATAATGCAAATTAGATACGGACAAAGAACATTTCCTGAAACACCCTAAAACTATACCGTTTTGACATAGACGTAGGCGAATGCGACTTAAGCACTTATCTATGAATTACAATCATCACGATAAAGTAGCCATTCACGGACCTGGAATTAGCAAGTTAACCAGCTTGATTCAGTAAGGAAGAAGGAATGATAGCATGTTACACATGTAGGGATGTGACTGAACCACAATACCACGTTACACATTATTTCTTGAATAATCCTTCGTGCTCAACGTCCTAGTGTAGCAGTGACGTTTTCACGTTGTATAATGTTATATTATAAAAGACAAAAAGTTATACAAAGCATTTCTTGTTCGTGTTAGGGGCGGTCGGGTAGCCTAGTGGTTAAAGCGTTCGCTCGTCACGCCGAAGACCCAGGTTCGATTCCCGACATGGGTACAATGTGTGAAGCCCATTTCTGGTGTCCCCCGCCGTGATATTGCTGGAATATTGCTAAAAGCGGCGTAAAACCATACTCACTCACTCACTTGTTCGTGTTAAACAGTTTTGTGGGCAACAGTATTATTCGTGGTATTCACTTTGCCTGTTCCTTGTCTCGGCCAGGTTAATGAATATGCATAGCACGTGCATTTCATGTTAGTTGGTATCTTTGTTATAATATTGAGCATTTTGATTGGCTGATTTGATCGTCTGCTTTTCAATGAAATTGTACCTTCTGGTTTCGTTCAACTGAGCATTTGAGAGGTGAACTTGGGAGCTTGAACACAAGAGTGGTCTCCAGGTACCACGCCCTGTGTGTCGTCGTACAGAGACGACGGAGTAGCCTTGTGTTATAGACGGGATAATACTCTTCCACGTCTCGTAAAAATAAACAGATTCACACCCTACAGCAAGTCATGTTTCCCATAATTATTAAAACAAGCGCACGAGTAGAAACAAATGTACGCGAGAAACATATTTCAACAGCTATGATGTGTAGCTGGAATACTGCTGAGTGCGGCGTTAAACAATAAACAAACAAGCGAACAAACAAACAACGGCTAAATGTTGTAGTCGTCGAGCAGGTAGGAAAATCAATATACATGCGTAATCAGCTCACCGGTTCCAGGAAGCAAAGCTCACTGTTACCCGGACCGCGTCAGCCTCCAGCAGACTCGGGAGAAGCATCCGTCGTTTGACCAGGAACTGAAAGGTAATATTCAGACACATCATCAAAACTTACACATATACTGCCTTAGCAGAGTAGACATTGCCGACACAGCATGAAATATATGTATGATGTTACCATGGCTACGCTGTTTATTATGACAACAGTTCATTTATGATATGAAAAGTATCTAAATCGTAATGACATTTATTCTTTTATCAAGTTATGCCTTTGTATCTTACTGTTGGAAGACACGCGTTTTTTTATTGATGGGAAATAGAAGATGTATTCTACATTGTATGTACTAAACGTATTTAATGAACAGTACGCAAATTATCGTACTACATCAATATACTAGTATATCTATCGTATCTAGGATCTAAGAAGAGTGGGGGAATTTACACAATGTCATGCATTTCGACCGTAATAACCTTTATCTGATTAACGTGTCTGTGTGTATATAACATTCGGAGCTCTGCCACCAGCATGTACAACGTTCTGCTACACATCGGCTGGCATGAAGTAGACCGAGACAGTCTATTGCGAGTCTGCGGATCAATTTTATTTTGTTGTTGTCGTAACTAAGCAATGGATAAGCAAAACACGACAGTATCGACTGTGTGTATCAATCCAAATGTAAATATGACTGCGGGGGTCGATAAGTGGGATAGTCTAAATGTCGGGCCGGGCCGACGGGTAATACTAAAAATGGATTGTAGAATAGTAAAACGAAACGTGCAGATCTCAAATGTCCATAAACGTATAATTTTGCTCAATTAATCGCGTTTGAATCAAAATGTATATTTAACAATATAATAAAGTAATAATTATGACTACATACCGAGAGTCCTCGTAGAAAAGCCAGTGTCTTGACTGAGTATTTTCTTTGATGAGAAGGTTTCTCACCGACCTTAGCATGTTAGGGTGTGATGTCCGGGGCAGGAAATGACAGTGTTTCGACTACTTTTCTTTCATTAATTAACGTGTATGGCTTCCCTAGTTAACATTACTCAATCTTGATAAAATAACACAGGATGTCTTCTGGGAGTGGATATTCGCGAATGTCGAGTAGCTGACACGACACGTGTAGAAAGTAAAATAACTGTTAAAGCACCTTTAAAATTACTAAAAGTACTTTACATCTATGGACTAGTATTCTGTCTACCTAAATACCACGTTATAGTGTCTCAGATCGCGATTTTTAAAGAAATCACGGTGCTCAAAGTGAAGTCTTTTTAACTCTACATTCTCAACCTAGTTTTATCAGAAGTGTTTTGTCAGTGTTGGGTCCGACTTGGCTCGGGCTGTCAAAATCAACTTTAACCTCATAGATGTATCATATGTGTCTTAAGACAAGTATTATATCTACCTATATACCCCTTGATAGTGTCTAAGATCGCGGTAGTTAAAGTAATCACGGCGCCCAAAGTGAAGCCTTTTTCCCAGTACAACATGTCTCTATCAGATGTGTTTGGGCTGTCTTCCGTCCGACTTTGGCCAGGCTGTCAAAATTAACTTGAAACTCACAGATGTATCATCAAATGTGTTTACATCAATAGACTAGTATTATATCTACCTAGATACCCCTTTATGGTGTCTCAGATCGCGGTATTTAAAGAAAACACGGTGCTCAAAAGGAAGTCGTTTGAACTCTACATTCTCAACATAGTCTCTATCAGAAGTGTTTCGTCTGTGTTGGGTCTGACATTGGCCAGGCTGACAAAATCAACTTGAAACTCACAGATGTTTCATCAAATGTGTTTGATAGGCTGGTATTATGTCTACCTATATGCCTCTTTATTATGTCTCGGATCGCAGTATTTAACTAAACCATGTTGCTCAAATTGAAGCCCCTTTAACTGTATATTCTCAACATAGTCTCACTGAGAAGTGTTTGGTCTGTGTTATGTCCGACTTGGCCCGTGTTGTCAAAATCAACGTATCATCAAATGTGTTTACATCTATAGAATAGTAGTATATCTGACTGCCTCTTGCCTGCCTGCCTGCCTATTGCCTGCCTGCCCGCCTGCCTGACTGTCTGACTGCCTCTTGGCTGCCTCTTGACTGACTGACTGACTGCCTCTTGACTGACTGCATCTTGACTTACTGACTGACTCTTTACTGACTGACTCTTAACTGACTGACTCTTGATTGACTGACTGACTAACTGCCACTTGACTTACTGACTGAGTTACTACCTCATGACTGACTGACTGCCTCTTGACTGACAGAATGACTGCTTCTTGACTAAATGACTGACTGCCTCTTGACCTGACTGATTCTTGACTCTCTTTCCTACACCAAACTTCCTGATGCAAGTCGATGAGACGAGCCTCACACAGCCCCTTCAGCATGTTCAACTGACGAAATGTGAGCGTTTTATATGAATGTGGTGCTTGTAACACGGTGTCATGACAAGGTTAGAACACGATTGGTGTAAAACAGTGCCATGACTTGGTTCGAAGTGTCTAAGACTAGTTCCAACACGGATGTAAAACAAAAACCGCTGTGGGAGATGCTGTAACTGCTGCTACAGGCAAGTCCGTGACATCTCACGTTTACCAGACTGGTTGGAAAACACGGGAGCAGGACGTTCGTAATGCTGGGCCTACCGTAATGTTTAAGTATAAACTATAAAGCCAGAAAAGATAAACCACTTCCTGATCTAGATCAATGCCCTGTATTTTCAACCAGGCTAGATGTGTGTTACAACCAAGTTCTAGCCTCATCATGGATCTATATTACAACTGTGTTCTAACTTTGTATTATTCTTTCACTTGTAAAGAGTATTAGCATTGGAGGATTGCCTATAATTGACTTATCCCACGTTGACTTTAGGAATCAGAGGTCAAGGGCATGAGAAAATCTCACTGAAACAATTGTGGTTGCACTTTCTCAAAAAGTATAAATGCAGTTATCATTAAAAATCTAGATACATCTTCTTTAGAATGGGGTCCGTTCTGACAATATATCTATCAAAGTTCGTCAACAGTCAATGTCAGCATTGGTTGTCAAGTCTGTCAAAGGCCAAGGTCATCATGGAAATGATAACAGTTGATAACGTTTTATTGTGCTTTAAAGTGCAAGGTTCATACCTTTGGAGAATTTGGTGTTGCTTGATTAATGTCCCAAGTCATATTATCGATGGAAGTAACTGTGGTTTTCTTTCATAACAGTGAGAAATGGAAGGAAATCCGGACTCACGTGACCATCAGATGACCGGACGCCTCACAGAGGAAGCAGCTGATTTACTGAGGAGAACTGAACAAGGGAGACAACCAACTTCCACAACTGCAATACAGCACAACTACAGTGAGCATTTCAAACCTGTACAGTCATGCATACAGCTAGAAAAGAAGGAGTAAGATCGATATCAGAAGTTGATCTAACAAACAAAATTGAGTTAAAATTGGAGAATCTGTTATAGTACCTTTGTTTGAAGCCAAACCAGGTATAAACATTGATCTTGTTAACACATAATTTGTCTGATATCCCACAAATTACAGGAAGTCAAATGCATGACATGTGGAATGATATATGTAAAACATAAAAAGGAACACATCATAAGTATGCCCTTTCTATTGGGCTGGGACGGGCAACTCGGGTACTCGGGAGGGTACTGAGTATGACCCGGGTACCCACAGGACTCCCTTGGCCTGTGGTTAGTCACATGATATATTGTTTAATGACAAAAAAAACCTAGAACTCTATGGTTACATTTCAAGTCACTATGTGACTAAACACCATTCTGACCATTATAGGTTTGAATAAAAATAAAACTTCAGTCAACTTCATTGTATGCATTACCAGATTGTTTTATACGAGTATCGACATTTTACCAGGGCTACGGTCAAACTATTCCCAATCGGACATTTTGTACCCATCTCTTGAGACCTGTAGCTGGTACCCGGGTAGGATCGGGTAATGGCGAGTAGGGTACCAGGTAGTAAATTTGGACTCGTCCCAGCCCTTCTTTGAGTGGCATTTAGAAGTTGAGGTGATGAAATATGGATGAACAACTTCTTTATTACAATTAGTGCCCTACCTTTCTAAAAAATTCCATGTAAGAGATTTCTCCTGATTGTGGAAGGGTTTTGTTGCTTGTATTTATCTGACGATAATGAGACCAGAGGTTTTCTTAGTTGCAGGTGGTCCAGTGTCTCAGGTGGACTTGACCAATGCTACCAATGTCTCCGTCTCCGTGGGGGAACAAGGAGCTAGAGGATGTCTGTCACAAGGTGAGATGCCACTCAGCATGCACATGCTGATAAACTGATGTGGAGGACAACTATAATTATGAGAATTAAGAGAGGATAATTTAGCATGATTCAAACATGCTACAGGACCAACCAATTGTTATTTGGGAGAGGGCTTGGAAATGTATCAAACAAATTGTCCAAGAATAAAATGGGAAACTTGTATGAATGATCCTAGCTATGTTATCTCTAAGATATGCTCATATGATTTCAATCTGATTTTATGAAACATGGCCCCCACGGTGGCCATCTTGAAAATGTCCTTGGTGTTATTTCAGCATTTCTGCTTGTATCATTATGAAATTTGATATGCAGCAAGTATGCGTCTTTTGGAGTTTTTGACAAATTTAAATTTTTGACCCACTTATGACCTTTGACTTTTACATACCCATTTTTCAAGTATTACTGTATTGTTTACATCCCAGAAACGACAATACAGTAAACTACGGTTATAACGAACTCAAAGGGACTGCTAACTTTAGTTCGTTATAACCGTAGTTCGTTATAAGTACATATACAGCATGACTACAGCAAGTAGTCGGGACCAAAAAGTACGTTCGTTATATCCGTCAGTTCGTTATAAGCGTGTTCGTTATAACCGTAGTTTACTGTACCTATGAACTGAAACTTTGCCAACTGATCCCACTGAACTGAATTTTGATCACAGAATCCTGATCTGATATTTTTCAATATGACTGTCAATCGTAGTCATAATAGGTTACTTCATTATCATGAAAATAGTGTCATGAAAGTGAAGACGCTCTCATTGGCAATAAAAATCAAAAGTAGGTTCAACATCAGAAACCATATCTTAGATTCCACCGCACACTAGCATGCCATCATGTTTCATCAAATTATCTGCATTCATTTGGGAACACGTGGGAACCGTGCTTGTTGGTTTCAGTGGTAAATGTCTGAGACCTGCCTCACTGTGGGATTTCCTCCTACACTAAGCCATGCTAGCGCTATATCTTGAATACTGTTCATGGAAAGCAAACTCAAAAAGGAAATGGTTCCAGCAACTTTGGGAGAAGCAGTTGATAGGGTGCCTCAGGCTAAGTTTCATGCACAATTTGATGTAGGAAATGAATAGTAAAAGTTCAAGCAGGACCAAATTGTCCACGAATGGCAGACAAACGTTTTTGCCAATTACTTCAGCTGTTGAGGCAAGGGCTAAGTCCCACAGTACTTTAAAGATGGGTTACTTTCTATTGACGGAGGACTTAAAAGAGTACATGACCCTGTGACGCCTGATGACCCCAACTATGACCTTTGCAGTAGACGGATCCTTGCCCTTTTAGAATGTTTTTAGAGATCTTCTCGTCTGATACTGCTTGACTCTTTGTGTTATTATAAGCAGTGTTAATTGATTGCATGTTTTGTGTATGAAGTATATTTAACAATTCAAATTTTACAAAAAGTTTAAAGATTCTGACAGTGGTCTAGTGGTAGAGTGTCTGCCTGGAGAGTGGAAGGTCGGGGGTTCAATGCCTGGCCTCGTCATACCAAAAGATGCTAAAAGATGGTACATGTACTTGTTGCTCTCCTGTCAGGTGCTCGGCATTATGGGATTAAAAATGGACTGGTCAGCTTGGAGTCAGTATACTGTGTCTGAGTGGGGTATTAATTTTAAACTGCAGCATGGTATCTCAGTGGGCTAGCACTATAAAATCGGCATTTGTCTGGACTAGAACAAGCAGCCACACACACACATCCATGCACATCGTTATGTAAGTGCAATAATCTTTAACGCGACAGTAATCCCATTTCACCTCACCTCACCTTAAAATCAGTGTGAAAAGAAGTGTGTGATATTGATGCACAGAATGTAACTGAACCATCCAGGGTCTACACAAAGGACAAGATGACTGTCTCGCGGTGTAAATAGAGAATACTACACTAATTCTCGTTAGATACCATTTTTACAAAACTAGTGGACTTTATGGTATCTGACCAAGCGAAAGCGAGGCCAGATACCATAGAAAGTTCACAAGTTACGTAAATATGGTATCTAACGAGAATAAGTGTGGTTTTTTTTTTTATTACCCACGTTAAATATGTATGTAAGTGTAAATGCATTGACAGACCAAACTGGAACCGGTTGCAAAATCTGGTTGCGCATGATTGTTGATATATGCCGAAATATGGGCACTGTTTACATTCCTATGCATGCGCATTAACAAATTGTGCCTGCAGTTGTAATCGAAAACATAACAGCACCGACGCTCAAGATCCTTTTCGAAGAATTTCTTCAACTTATGAGAACTCAAGCGCCATGTTGTAAGTACGCAGGACACCTAGAGATCTATAAGAAAATTTGAAAAGTCACATTAGCGCCACGCTTTGAATATTGGAGCAATAGTCGGTCACTCGCACTGCCGGGGTCCCGTCTGTGCGTTCAAAATGGTTCGGTTTCCTTGATCTATCAGCTGAATTTATATCATGTCCATACCATTTTGGAAGAGGGAAATCAGAGTGTTCGCCAAAGACATTCATGTTAACTGTACCACCCTTGACTGAAGACGTAAAAATCAACCACTCAAGTCTGCTTGCATGTCAGTGACAGCTTCGAACGAAGGGCAAGGTCACCACCGGAATAAGAAAAGACAACCGTGATCTTCTCAGCGTTTTATGCTAGAGATAGGGAATGTTATTGTTCACCTTTGGGATATTTTGGGCCACATAATCAGAAATCAGGCACACTTCCACGGAGTTTTCGAATGATTTGTATCGGAAATGTTCACTTTGAGTGGTCTGGTCGTGCAGTCGTGAACAAACAACTCCCGCAACAGTGCCACAAAATACGCTTCGAAGAGGACACTGATGGCACAACCAAGTAAGTCTAGATATCTGTCAAGATAGATTAAACTGACTTCATTTCACGACGCTTATCCTTTTACGTTAAATCAAATTGGAAATTGCGAAAGTGGTCGGATGCGTCACGCTCATGGGGACCCTCGGACTATTGAATGGTAGTCGAACATTGTAAATGGATATAGCCCGATTATATAATGTCTGTGGAAGCTCAATGCATAACTTATATAGGATGCAAACCGAATTTGATGCCTGTGACTATCTTGTTTGGTTTAATAAAATGTTTGTTAATATCCCTCGCTCACATGAGATTGCTTCAGTTCTCCCTTGTAGCTGCAAAATGAATGATGTCTCGCGATTTTTTTATGAATGAAAAAAGTAGTCCCGGTGTGACAGAGGTCACGGTTATCCAATCAAAACAAATTAAACAGGGTCAACCTTGTACGACACACATGTGACGTACGGATTTAGTACCTTACCACCTGTATCTTCACCATGTGGGTAATAATATCCCAATGCATGCAGACATTTGTCATTGGCTGCATCTTCAGGACGTTCATATGCCACAAGCTTCAGCAGATATTGACCTCTTGATTGGGGACATGCATGCAGTTTGATTAATTTGAGGACTGGTCAAGTGGAAGTCCACATGCGACACCAACCAGGCTCGGATGGATAGTCTGGAAGACTGGTCAAGTGGAAGTCAACATGCGACACCAACCAGGCTCGGATGGATAGTGTAGAAGACTGGTCAAGTGGAAGTCCACATGCGACACCAACCATTCTCGGATGGATAGTGTAGAAGACTGGTCAAGTGGAAGTCCACATGCAACACCAACCAGGCTTGGATGGATAGTTTGGAAGACTGGTCAAGTGGAAGTCCACATGCGACATCAACCAGGCTCGGATGGATAGTGTGGAAGACTGGTCAAGTGGAAGTCCACATGCGACACCAACCAGGCTCGGATGGATAGTGTGGAAGACTGGTCAAGTTGAAGTCCACATGCCACACCAAACAGGCTCGGATGGATAGTGTGGAAGACTGGTCAAGTTGAAGTCCACGTGCGACACCAACCAGACTTGGATGGATAGTGTGGAAGACTGGTCAAGTGGAAGTCCACATGCAACACCAACCAGGCTCGGATGGATAGTGTGGAAGACTGGTCAAGTGGAAGTCCACATGCGACACCAACCAGACTTGGATGGATAGTGTGGAAGACTGGTCAAGTTGAAGTCCATTTGCACACCAACCAGACTTGGATGGATAGTGTGGAAGACTGGTCAAGTTGAAGTCCTAATGCGACACCAACCAGGCTGGGATGGATAGTGTGGACGACTGGTCAAGTTGAAGTCCACATGCCACACCAAACAGGCTCGGATGGATAGTGTGGAAGACTGGTCAAGTTGAAGTCCACTTGCGACACCAACCAGACTGGGATGGATAGTGTGGAAGACTGGTCAAGTTGAAGTCCACATGCGACACCAACCAGGCTCGGATGGATAGTGTGGAAGACTGGTCAAGTGGAAGTCCACTTGCGACACCAACCAGACTTGGATGGATAGTGTGGAAGACTGGTCAAGGTGAAGTCCACATGCAAGACTGGTCAAGTGGAAGTCCACTTGCGACATCAACCAGGCTCGGATGGATAGTGTGGAAGACTGGTCAAGTGGAAGTCCACATGCAAGACTGGTCAAGTGGAAGTCCACATGCGACACTAACCAGGCTCGGATGGATAGTGTGGAAGACTGGCCAAGTGGAAGTCCACTTGCAACACCAACCAGGCTTGGATTGATAGTGTGGAAGACTGGTCAAGTGGAGTTAGGCAGACGAACCTTTTTGAACAGGACCGAAGTAGTAGCTGTAAATGAAGTGAACGAGCTGGAAAGACTTGTGAAACAATCAATCCATCTTCATTTCCCAGGATTAGATATTCATGCAAAACGTGAACAGTTCCATTACATTGGAGAATGGTCATTTCAGCATAAAATTGCCATTGAAAAAAGCAGAGGTGAAGCTACCAGACAACCATACCCAAGTCCTAAAGAAACTCGAATAACTGAAAGTGAAACTGAAGAGAGATCCTTAGTTATTGGAAGAATATGAAGATTCCATGTCTAAACTTGTTGACTAGGGCAATGCTAAGAGCATACGTGCAGATGAGGGGATGGGTACTATCGGTCTTGTGTGGTACTTGCCACACCATGGTGTGTACCACCCTCGGGAACTTGATACACTGCGAGTCGTGTTTGGCTGCTCGGCAGCATATGAAGGTATATCCCAAAACAGTCAGCTGCTGCAGGGCCAGATTTAACAAATAATCTCACAGGCGTCCTTCTGCGTTTCAGACGGGGACATACAGCCATGATGGCAGATAATGAAGCCATGTTCCACCAGGTGGAAGTAGTGAAAGATGACACTGATGTCTTCAGATACTACCTGTGGTTGGAAGTCGATGTATATCAAGACCCAACATCTTATGGAATGGTGGCACATTTGTATGGCTCAATATCATCACAAAGCTGCTCGCAAGGGGCAAATCATTATAAAAAATGACTTTTCAGAGAAGGCAATAGTTGTGATAAGAAAGAGCTTTTATGTGGACAATTGTTTAAAGTCTGGGCCTACAGATGAGGGAGACATCTTGTAAAGAATGTGGGTGAACCGTGCCAGTAAGGTGGCTTCCATTTAACAAAGTGGATCAGCAACATTTACTCGGTCATGGCCACAATTTCAAAAGGAGAGCAATCAAAGGAATTGAAAAGTTTGAATCTTGAACAAGATGAACCTGCATCTGAACGAGCTGTTGGAGTCCTGTTAGAGGTAGAACCTGACATGATTAGCTTCAAAATTCAGATGACGAATCAGCCTTCAACTGGAAGGGGAATTCTCCCTACAGTCACTTCAGTGTATGACCACTTATGACTTGCTTCACCTGTTACTTTGCACGCCTCATTCTCTAATAAGAATTGTGACAATAGAGGTGGACTGGGATGACGAGGTCAGTGGGATTCCTTTACAGAAGCGTAAATCTGGATCTTGAATCTTCCTAACCTGGAAAACATGAAAGTACCCAGATATTAGAAACCAGCTGACTTTGGATCAGTCATTTCAAATACATAGCATGTGTTTTGTGATGCCAGTGAACAAAGCTTTGGCGTGGTTGTTACATTCGACTTCCGATTAAGAACTGGTCTATTGCAGGATTTGCAAACATGTGCACCGCTAACACATTGTCAACAGATAATTTCCAAGTCTTTTCATGTTTCTAATCAAGGAGCACACTTGGTTTGATGCACTTCGCGATGTAAGACCCGTTTTATCACAATATAGATCTTGATTATTGATCAGATCGTCTTGACTGGGCGCAGCCGTTTTGTTTGAAACAAATGCAAGTGATACGAGATGTGGAATCTGATCGATCCATAGGAGTGGCTTAAAAGGGACATAACTCGTAATGACCACTGGTGGCGCTACGATCAAGCCCAGGAATTCCAGCCAAGTTCGGCATGGGTAGAAACTGGACTTTTAAAGTCATTTAACTCCTTGCCTCGGGAAGATGAGAATGGAATTAACTGCAGCGATACTCACTGCTCACATCAGTACAATGATTCTTAAGAGATAGAGATCTAAATAAACTCTTCAAAACAGAACCGCAAAACAGATTTGTTTGGCCATTAAATCAAAAGTAAGAGGTGCAAAGTGAAGAGTGTTATAGTGTTATAGTGTCAGTGACAAATTTCCCGAATCAAAATGATCACAACAAGGACAGCAAACCATTATATGGGAAACACTTACGATTCTGAAAAGGCACCCAGTGCATTAACAACACTATGAATGGTGAACGGTATTAAAGTGAAGGGTTTTTGATTGCCTGGCATCTGCGTCAATCGAACAGTGACAGTTCAACAACATGCCAAGATTAACAGAAGTGCAAAGAAACAACGTCATAGGCGGCTGGCAGGCAGAGGAATCCCGATCAGCTGTAGCCAGGGTTTTCAGTGCTGCACCCAGCACCATCAGAAGGCTATGGGATCGGTTTCAACAGCATGGGTCAACACATATATTGGCCAAGGCCGGCATGACCAAGAGTAACCATCCCCTCCAAAGATTGCAACATCCGACTGCGCCACCTACATGAAAAGACAACCACAGCCACCTCAACCTCACCCCAAAGACCTTGACTGCGCAGAATCTCTGACCAGACCGTACGAAACCGTTTAAGAGCAGCAGGTCTATGAGCAAGAAATCCTGTTCGACGGGTCATACTGATTTGACAACATCATCAACGACGACTGCATTGGTGTCATCAACACAGGGTGTGGCCTCAACTGCGATGGATAGATGTCTCGTTCGAGGGGATGGAAGAACATGGGTCTACAGACATCGGGGAGAACATTACGCTGGACACTGCGTCCAGGAAGTGGACAGGTTTGGTGAGGGTAGCGTTATAGAGAGAGCACCTGTGGGATCAATTGGATAGACAGCTATGCTGATGTCAACCACAACCCCAGACGTTGCAGCAGTTGACTTTTGCGTTGCAGGCTGAGTCGGAGACAATTCCCCAGGATGTGATTTGCATACTCGTCTTTTCAATGGGCAGGAGATGTCATGCCATTATCGATTCAAACCGGGGACATACGCGTTATTAATTGTAGCTGACCTTCACCTTCACAGTAGCTGTAATCCTGCAGATGTGTCATCACCCAGAGAATATAGGTTATGATAGAAATAGAGAAGAATTGATATTTAATGACTTTCATAGATACTGTGAGAGAAATATGACTTTGTAGTCATCATTCTTTTGCCAGCTTAAAACAGAGCATGGGGTCTTTAAGAAAACTCATCACTTCATAACTTACATTATTCATTAAAAAAACTAACCATTTATTGGGAATTATGTCTTTTATGCAAAATAAGTCGTTCGGCACATCTTCACCCATTAAGTGCTACATCACTGAATAAAGGTGAGCTTCTGTACCTGTGGTTTCACTGACTGAATGTTTCTTCTCAGATGCATGTGTGTATTATGATGTGTTGGACCATATCGTTTTTTTCTGTTAACCAAAAAATATTTTGCTTAATTGAGAAACATATTTAAGCATGATCATCTCAAAAATGCAAATGCTGGGAAAGTCGACTTTTTAGTAGGATATGTATCATGTGAAATGGGATGCACATGTAATCATTGGCAATGAGATTAAGATAGTGATTCATCTTTAGATTGAACATACAAATATGTTTTTTTTATCTCAGCAGAGTCAAAATGCTATTTGTTTTTTTTATGGACCATTATTATACAGCTCACTTTGAGTGTACCTGGTAAGCAGCACTGTCTCAGAATGACAGAGTGAAATTGGGCTTAAAGTCATGTTGAAGATTACTACACATGCATAGCGATGGGCATGCATGTGTCTGTATGGTTGCTAGTACTAGTCCGGATATATTGTGGCTTTATGGTGCTGTGCCACTGAGATACCATGCCACAATTCAATACGGATGTCCCACCGATACAAGCTCCGAACTGACCAATCCTTGTTTTATCCCCTAAAGGTGAATACCATGCAGGTAACAAGTTCCATCTTTTAAGATTGTTTGGTATCACATGGCTGGGGGATTGAGGATGATTATGAGTTTTCTTAGGATCACTGAACGCACCTGGTAAGCAAAGAAATGACTCACACAATGTTTTAATTTTTTTGTCATAATTGTGTGAACAGCTCTGAATCAGATCCAAGTGGTAAAACTGTGTGGCTTGATTTAAACTCTGCCTTGCTTTTGTGTTGTCTATTCTGCCTGGAATGGTGCTTTTTACCGGAGGTCCAAATTTGATTATATGTAGACCAACTTAACATTCACACAATCAATGTTTCCCCTTTTCCCACAGAACGTTACTGCCAAAAGGTGGAACTGCTCAATGAGTATTTTGTGGACATCCATGCCCTCCAGACAGCCCAACAGCTCCTTGAGAAGCATGGCCATGTCAGTATCTGTGGAGCTCCTGGAGATGGGAAGACCAGCATTGCTCTGAAGATCTGTGAGGCATATCAACAAAAGAGATATGAAACAGTTTTTGTGGAAAACATTGAACGTTTTGACGTTGATACAATTTCTAAACGGCAATCACACATGTTGGTTGTTTTTGATGATATATTTGGTTCTGTCACATTCAGTTCAAATTTGGAAAAACTACATGAATTGTTCAGTGCCTTGGTTGATGATCTTGCTAAAACTGCCGGTGATAAAGAGAGTGATTCCATGAGGAAGAAAGATAAACAATCAAAAGGTAAGGAAAAGTCCAATGAAGAAACCCCCATCTACAGACTGAAGCTTGTTTTTACATCTAGGACATACATCTGGAAGGAGGGGTGTTCAAGACTACATCAGTACAAAGTGGACCTACTTAAAACACAAGCTATGCTTGATATGACTAAAGACCATCTCACGGTTGAAGAAAAGAAACGTATGTTACGTTCCTTCAAGAGCAAACATCCTAAATGTGATATCTCTGAAAAGGATATTTGTAGCATCACAGATTCAAAACACAATATATTTGGATTCCCTCTTATCAGCAGACTCTTTTTTACTCATGCAGTCTTCCAGATGCACAATGTAAAATTCTTCAATAATTCACTGACCTACCTGAGAGGTGACCTTGACGCCATTGTCCGGGAAGAAAGCAATAGATCAGCAGCCATCCTTCTCCTTATCCTGTGTGATGGAAACCTGAACCTTGTTTCTTTGCAGTCACGGAAAGCTGGAATTGTCATGTTTGATGCTGTGAAGGACGTAGTTCCTTGTTGTACAAGCACCGGGATTGCCAAGGAGATCGCAAACTTTACTGGGGTCTACTGTACAGTCGAGGATCACATTGCAAGTTTCTCTCACCCCTCCATATATGATGCTGCAGCCTGCGCTGTTGGAAAACTCAATCTCGTGTTGCTGCTGGAACACTGCTCCCTGAAATTCATATATGAAAGAGTGAGGCTGGGTAAGAGTATACAGTCATCAGACATTGGAGATGTCACAAACATGATCTACATCACCCCCCAACTACACCAAACAGTAGTGGACAGACTGGTGGAAGGTATTCGACAAGGATGCTTCATTTGGACAGTGAAACATCCAGTTCTCTGTGAAGAGAGGATTGCCGCCCTACTATGGACAGAGATTAAAAATAACATTGTTGAAATTGTTGAACAAAAGGATAGGGACACAGATGAATGCTTTTTGTATTTAGCTTCCATATCTGAGAGTTACTTTCTATTCTCAAAGTCATTAGAAGTAGTTGGAAGACAGGGTGACACATCAACTGATCTATATGACTGTGTGGTAGCCTGTGTTACTTATGGCAAACTGAAACATCTGGAACACCTCGTTACAATCATGAGTCTACGTGGAGAATTCGATGTTGATTTTTCCATAGACGGGAAAACCCTTCTGATCATGGCTGCCAAGTCAGGACAGTCAGAGGTAGTCAACTTCCTCATCCAGAAGGGTGCTGATATTTCATTGACGGACTGGACAGGAAGCACCTGTTTACATTATGCCTGTGAATCAGGAAGCATGGCGTTGACCACAAAGGTTGTTGAAATGTGTCCTGTTATACTAAATTCCATGAGTTTTGTAGGTTTAACACCTGCAATGCTTTGTGCCAAAGCAGGTCACCTTTTGATCCTGAAGTTCCTGAAACAAAAAGGAGCCGATTTAACTCTTACCGACAAAAACTTGGTAGATTGTTTGCACTTGGCGAGTGAAAATGGCAATCTGTCAACTGTGAAATTTTTGATTTCTCTGAAAATGTTTAATGTGAACAAGAAGGAAACATATTTAATCCCAACATCAGCTATGAAGGCAGCAAGAAGAGGACACTATGATGTTTATCATCTCCTTGTGTCTGAGGGTGCAGATCTCACTGTTACTGATCAATACAACAGAGACTGTCTGATGTTGGCATGTCTGGGAGGAAACCTATCTATAGTGAAACATGTTTTGTCATTGAAAACATGCGACATCAACAGGCGGCAAGGATATTTGAAACAAACACCAGTTATGATGGCATTGGAAAGAGGACACTGTGATGTTTATCATCTCCTTGTGTCTGAGGGTGCAGATCTGACCCTTACTGATGGTAACAACACAGACTGTCTGATGTTGGCATGTGTCGGAGGAAACATATCTATAGTGAAACATGTCTTGTCAATGAAAACATGGGACATCAACAGGCGGCAAGGATATTTGAAACAAACACCAGTTATGAAGGCATTGGGAAGAAGACACTATGATGTTTATCATCTCCTTGTGTCTGAGGGTGCAGATCTGACCCTTACTGATGAAGACAACAGAGACTGTCTGATGTTGGCTTGTGTGGGAGGAGACCTATCTATAGTGAATCATGTCTTGTCAATGAAAACATGCGACATCAACAGGCGGCAAGGGTATATAAAACAAACACCAGTTATGATGGCATTGGGAAGAGGACACTATGATGTTTATCATCTCCTTGCATCTGAGGGTGCAGATCTGACCCTTACTGATAAAAACAACAGAGACTGTCTGATGTTGGCATGTGAGAGAGGAAACCTATCTATAGTGAAACATGTCTTGTCAATGAAAACATGGGACACCAACAGGCGGGGAGGATATTTGAAACAAACACCAGTTATGATGGCATTGAAAGGAAAACACAATGATGTTTATCATCTCCTTGTATCTGAGGGTGCAGATCTGACCCTTACTGATGATAACAACAGTGACTGTCTGAGGTTGGCATGTGAGAGAGGAAACCTATCTATAGTGAAACATGTCTTGTCAATGAAAACATGGGACATCAACAGGCGGGGAGGAGAGTTGAAACAAACACCAGTTATGACGGCATTGAAAGGAGGACACTATGATGTTTATCATCTCCTTGTTTCTGAGGGTGCAGATCTGACCCTTACTGATGATAACAACACAGACTGTCTTATGTTTGCTTGTGTGGGAGGAAACCTATCTATAGTGAAACATGTCTTGTCAATGAAAACATGGGACATCAACAGGCGGGGAGGAGAGTTGAAACAAACACCAGTTATGACGGCATTGAAAGGAGGACACTATAATGTTTATCGTCTCCTTGTGTCTGAGGGTGCAGATCTCACTGTTACTGATCAATACAACAGAGACTGTCTAATGTTGGCATGTGTGGGAGGAAAACTATCTATAGTGAAACATGTCTTGTCAATGAAAACATGGGACATCAATAGGCGGGGAGGATATTTGAAACAAACACCAGTTATGAAGGCATTGGAAGGAAAACACTATGATGTTTATCATCTCCTTGTGTCTGAGGGTGCAGATCTGACCCTTACTGATCAATTCAACATAGACTGTCTGATGTTGGCATGTGAGAGAGGAAACCCATCTATAGTGAAACATGTCTTGTCAATGAAAACATGGGACATCAACAGGCGGGGAGGATTTTTCAAACAAACACCAGTTATGAAGGCATTGGAAGGAGGACACTATGATGTTTATCATCTCCTTGTGTCTGAGGGTGCAGATCTGACCACTACTGATGATAACAACAGAGACTGTCTGATGTTGGCATGTATGGGAGGAAACCTATCTATAGTGAAACATGTCTTGTCAATGAAAACATGCGACATCAACAGGCGGGGGGGAGGTTATTTGAAACAAACAGCAGTTATGATGGCATTGGAAGGAAGACACTATGATGTTTATCATCTCCTTGTATCTGAGGGTGCAGATCTGACCCTTACTGATGATAACAACACAGACTGTCTGAGGTTGGCATGTGAGAGAGGAAACATATCCATAGTGAGACATGTCTTGTCAATGAAAACATGCGACATCAACGGGCGGGGAGGAAAGTTGAAACAAACACCAGTTATGACGGCATTGGATGGCGGACACTATGATGTTTATCATCTCCTTGTGTCTGAGGGTGCAGATCTGAGTGTTACTGATGATGACAACAGAGACTGTCAGATGTTGGCATGTGAGAGAGGAAACATATCTATAGTGAAACATGTCTTGTCAATGAAAACATGCGACATCAACAGGCGGGGAGGAAAGTTGAAACAAACACCAGTTATGACGGCATTGGAAGGAGGACACTATGATGTTTATCATCTCCTTGTATATGAGGGTGCAGATCTGTCCCTTACTGATGATGACAACAGAGACTGTCTGATGTTGGCATGTGAGGGAGTAAACATATCTATAGTGAAACATGTCTTGTCAATGAAAATATGCGACATCAACAGGCGGGGAGGAAAGTTGAAACAAACACCAGTTATGAAGGCATTGGAAGGAGGACACTATGATGTTTATCATCTCCTTGTGTCTGAGGGTGCAGATCTGACCCTTACTGATGATAACAACAGTGACTGTCTGATGTTGGCATGTGAGGGAGGAAACGTATCTATAGTGAAACATGTCTTGTCAATGAAAACATGGGACATCAACAGGCGGGGAGGATATTTGAAACAAACACCAGTTATGAAGGCATTGGAAGGAGGACACTATGATGTTTATCATCTCCTTGTGTCTGAGGGTGCAGATCTCACTGTTACTGATGACGACAACATAGACTGTCTGATGATGGCATGTGTGGGAGGTAACATATCTATAGTGAAACATGTCTTGTCAATGAAAACATGGGACATCAACAGGCGGGGAGGATTGTTGAAACAAACACCAGTTATGACTGCATTGGAAGGAGGATACTATGATGTTTTTCATCTCCTTGTGTCTGAGGGTGCAGATCTGACCCTTACTGATGAATACAACAGAGACTGTCTGATGTTGGCATGTGAGAGAGGAAACCTGTCTATAGTGAAACATGTCTTGTCAACGAAAACATGCGACATCAACAGGCGGGGAGGATATTTGAATCAAACACCACTTATTACGGCATGGAGAAGAGGATACAATGATATTTATCATCTCCTTGTGTCTGAGGGTGCAGATATGACAATTGTTACCGTATTTGTGTAACTCGACACCAAACTCCCGAGGGCTGCTTACATCTGGCACCTTCCCCAACCAGTATCTGAGCAAGGTCTTTTCATGTGAGTGGAGGAAAAGGCAGCACAACGGGACGATGTTCCTGGTTGATTCAGCGTTGAGATTTCACAATGGCATCACCACAGATTCCTTGCCACACCATGTCGATCGACCTCCAGATCACAACAAACATGCCTGCCATTTCCCTCATCGGTGGTGTACTCTGATAATCCTATCATCGTTGGCATCGACCTTTTTATCACAAAAGAACAGTCTTTGCCAGTTGCTGTTCTGCCAATAACAAATTATGTGTGCAAATCTCAGTCTCTGATGTCAAGGTTGGTGTTAGGGCTGCTCCATGGAATGATATATACGAGAGACACTGTCCTCCTGCTGACTGGACGATCAACGGTTGTTGCAGCCGATGACGTCACCACCAAAAAATATTTCCTGAGGTGCAAAACCCAAAGGTAGCAGTTGTCGTTTGGCCTGGTCAAGGGTAATCTGTTGCGTCTAGGTTTCTCCCTCGTACTGCCTCTTTGGGTGGTCAGGCTCGCTGACTTGGTTTGATGCATGTCATCGTATCCCAATTGTGTGGATTGATGGTCATGATGTAAATCACTGGATTGTATGGTCCAGACTCGATTATTTACAGACCGCTGTCATATAGATGGAATCGTGGAGTGCAGCGTCAAACAACAAACACACACTCACATGTTGGTTGAAGCAAAATATAAGTACACTAGTATTGTAATGGTGTATACAGCAGTAAGGTGTTGTAGTGGTATATATTGCATTCAAACTATATCATAAGCATGTGTTTATGAATTACTATAAGGGTAACGCTATTTTTCAGGGCATTAAATTGCCCTCGGTCTTTTCAATTGCCCTCCTTTGTCGGGCAGTTAATGGAAGACCTCAGGCTTCTGCAAATGATAATGCCCTGAAAAATAGCGTTACCGTTATTATAGCTAAAATGGATGGAATTTGTTATCAAAGAAAAAGAAACAACAATATCGGTTTTGAAACATTTACTGCATTCAATACGAATGTCACTGACCCACTTTTACAAATATGGAAACGTCATAGAACAAACCAGATGATGTCACTATTGAACGTGGCGTCATCTATCCCTATCCTATGACGTCACCTAACAACTGGCGTGATGATGGCCCGTCGCCAAGCAATATGAGGGCATTATCAAGTTACAGTGGCCCACTCATTTCTGAAAACATGCGGGCGATTTAATGATAATTCTATCCATTTTAGCTATAATGTTCAATAGTGAAAACACCATATATTGTATATACCATAGCAGCATCCAGTTTGATGTACCTGCTATTTATCAGTTGTATATATTTAGATAGGGTGGTGCATCTGGATTACCATATGATGTAGTATTTCTCGTGTAATGTAGACAACATGCCACATGTTAGATTTTTTTCTACTTTGTGTGTCATGATCTATGATAGTGAATATATCCTCACATGGTTTAGACATACTTGTAGTGTGGATTCAGGTGTATGGTATATGGTACCTTGTGTTACTATTGGTGAAGTAGTATTGATGACCAAATATATGCCTATTTTTACTTGATATGAATGATATAATAGTGTGTGTTTGTGTGAGGCTTTTTATGCATTAAACCTGGCATTGCATTGATATGAATAATGCCATGTAAATAGCATTGTATAGTGTTGAAGTGGTGTATATAGCATTGTGTAGTGTTGTAGTGGCATATATAGCATTGTATAGTGTTGTAGTGATGTATATAGCATTGTATAGAGTTGTAATGGTGTATATAGCATTGTATAGTGTTGTAGTGGCGTATATATCATTGTATAGTGTTGTAGGGGTGTATATAGCATCGGATAGTGTTGTAGTGGTGTATATAGCATTGTGTAGTGTTTAAGTGGTGTATATAGCATTGTGTTGTGTTGTATATACTATGTATAGTGCTGTAGTGGTGTATATAGCATTGTATAGTGTTGTTGTGGCATATATAGCATTGTATAGTGTTGTACTGGTGTATGTAGCAATGTATAGTGTTGTAGTTGCGTATATAGCATTGGATAGTGTTGTAGTGGCATATATAGCATCGTATAGTGTTGTAGTGGCGTATATAGCATTTCTTAGTGTTGTAGTGATGTATATAGCATTTCTTAGTGTTGTAGTGATGTATATAGCATTTCTTAGTGTTGTAGTGATGTATATAGCATTGTATAGTGTTGTAGTGGTGTATATAGCATTGT